CTGGCAGCGCGGCTCCGCGCCCGCGCAGCGGCTGCCCCGCGTGTCTCGGCACGCACCGCGCTCCCGCTCTGCCCCGACTCTCCCCCCCGCCTCAGGCCGTCATAAGCATAGGGCCGGTCTCGGTGCGTCTGCCAGCGGGTTCGGTCCTGAATCTCCGTGAAACGTCACCCGAGAGCGGTGAAGGACTCGAACCCCGCGTGTCCCCGAGTCACGCGGGGCCTGCAGCACCGTCCCTGCCCACGCTACCCAGGCTGAGATCCCGCGGGCGCTCGCTTTGCGAGGTTAATCATTACGTGACGTCTTCTGGGGCTGCCCTTGCACACAAACGGGTTTTAGCTTAAACGATAAAGCGTTACGCCGGTCGCAAAGCTGCTCGGCCGATGTTCCATTTTAGGTCGCAGCTGCGGCAGGTCGGCGAGCTCGTCCCGGGTCAGGGTCTCCGAGGTCCCCGCGCTGCTTCAGAGCGGCGGTGGTGGGAGTCAGGGAGCGGCCAGCACCCGCCCGTGACCCGAGAGCTCAAGTTCAATGCCCGCAGTGCTCAGCCGCCCCTAAGCGCGGCACCGAGGCCACGCAGGGAGTCCCGAGAAAACTTTCTCCGGCTCGAAAAGGATTTTTTGAGGCTGAAGTAAATAAGGAGATGAGCAGCTGTGGCACAGATCTGGAGGGAAAAAATAATTTAACAATTTTCCCCGCGTTGCTGTTAAATATTTTCATTTTCGTAACTGGCTTTTTTTTTTGAAAGAGGTAGGGGAAAATGAAAGCTCTTCTGTTCTGTTTAGCTATTAAAAGTCCACGCAAGTTAAAAGGTAACAACGGAAGGCAGTGGGCATGGGGGAAGGTTTGAGGGAAGTATAAATCGATTGCTTTTCTCTTCCTTTGCGTTCTCCCTTTGTCCTGGCGGACTTTTTTTTTTTTTTTTTTACAGCAAACACTACAAGAGAAGCAACTTCCTAAAGACACAGTTACCATCGGCAAATTCTGGCGAGGGAGGTGATGAAAAACCTGAGGTTTTTTTCCTGGGAGACACCAGGCGGAGGACAGACAGCAAATACTAAAAGCCTGTGCTAAAAGCTTGAGTGGAGTCCTAACTGTGTTAAATCATGGCAAATGTATTTAAGGAAATGAGATAATTTCGGGGGGGCGAGACTTTTTTTTTCGGGGGAGAACACAGCCACTTTCTGCAGCAATGCTATCTAGCTCGTGTGCAGATTCCCGTGCAATGTGTCAATGGAAAATGCAATGCGGCTCCGCGGGGCGCTGGGCACCCGCGGAGCCGCCGCCGGGGGAAGGCAAGGACTGTCCCGCAGGCAGAGGCCCGGCAAGCGCGGCACGTCGCCCTGCCTGCCTCGGACCGAAGTCTCGATGGGGACGGTCCTTCCCGGGCAGGGGAGGCGGGGGGCTGCTGCGGGCCGGGGCCGGGGCCGGGGCCGGAGCACGCCGCCCTGCACGGCCCCCGGGACCGGGGGTGCGGGACGCGTCCTGCCACTTGTAAACTGGGTGGATGATCTCAGAGATCCGACCTTGGCTCATGAGCTCATTTTTTTATTATTATTCGTGTGCATAATATCCTGCCGTGCAAGGCAGTGCTGTTTTCTACACCCTCCACAAAACGGCTCATTATAGAATGGAAGTTGTTGGCCATAAACCCGCCCAAAGACGCAGTTTTCTGGGACATCGAGGGGCTCTCGCTGGCGCAGAGGTCTCGGCAGGGCTGAGGTCCTCTGCGGGCGTCGCTGCGGCTGCACCGTGGTTTGCTTTGATGTAACGCAGCTCAAAAAGCTCCGAAACCCTGTGCTTTAGGTGCTCCTTTCTTTCGGCAGCCTTATTTAAAATGTGGTGGCGAGAGAGAAAATTTCACCGCATTTCTTGCCAGAGGAAACACAACGGGAGATGGGAATACAAATGGAAAGGTGTCCGGAGAAATAAAGTCTCTCGTTTCTCGGGATTTCGGTGTGTTAGCAATGTTGTCACTAGAAAGCTGCGGGCAGGGACATAAAAGGATGAGAAATTCATGCCTCGACAAAGCGTCCTGCTAATTATATAGGGTTTCATGTCCTGAGAGTAAATACTGATTCGACTTACAACCGAGTGAAACACGTAATCACGTCCGGCTCACTTCTTAGCTGATTACGAAAGATTAATAGCAATTAAGTGGTTAGAACTAATGAACGTGAACTCGTGCTTGCCATCCGGTTGTTGCTGCGATTGCTGGCACCCGTTTGTCATTTCTCACCCCGCTTCCAGAAACTGCCGACGATTATTAGACCGGCTACGAAGCAGGGCTGCGCAGGGGCGGCTGCTGCGCGACCTGCCGCGCTCCCGCTCGGCCCCTCCGCGCCCGCGGTAGCCCAGCAGCCCGGGGGGCCCGCCACCGCCTGCCCGGGCTGCTCAGCAAGGCCACCTCCAGCCCCTCCAGCACCAAGTTTCACCTCCACGGCGGCTGCCTCTCTTCTCTCCCGCGCCTGAGCCTCCGCTGGGACAGTAAACACGGCCCCAGCTACGTGCTTTTCAGCGGGCGCGGAGATGCCCTGCCTTTCCCCACGGAGCTGCCGCAACTTGTTGCCCTCCGCGCCCGAGAGAGGGTTAAGTGTCTGCAATACACAACCGTGGAGCGCCAGGAGCCGGCCCAGAGGGGCTGGGGCTGGGGCTGGGGCTGGGACACGTCTTCGGAGCTTTCTCCATTTCCAGCTCTTCGCGCTCCTGCGATTTCCATCCCGGCTCAGCGGGAGAGTCGAGAGAGACGACAGAAGGATTTGCCATAGTTTTGGGAAGTCACCCCCAGAACAGCCGTCAGCATAAGCAAACGCCGCGTTTTAACTAGGCTGCCTTACCACGACATGAACTGACACTGCAAGGGGAAAAAAGCCACGTCTAATGAGTGCCAGGTTTAGCATCTTGCGCTGCGTACAGCCCCGGTGCCATTTCCTGGCTGGTAGCAATATCTGGGGGCTGAAGGGGGGGGGTCTCCCACGGGCCGAGAGCTCCGTGGAGCCAGGGGACCCCTTCTCCCCTATAACAAAGCCCTTCCACTCCATACATCGCCGGGCAGGAGGGAGGTGGGGAGGATGGCACACAAAGACCGTGTCGGGTTTTTCTCCCTGCCGCAGGCGCAACAATGAGCTGGGGAAGGTCTCGCCGGGGATCCGGTCAGACCCCGGCCCGCGGCTTCAAAAAAAGAGCCTCTGCCCGCGGCTTCAAAAGGGCCAGCGGAGGACCCTTGGTCCTCCGCTGGCCCTTTTGAAGCCGCGG